ATAAGACAACATCTTTTTCACCGAAACGAACAAAAGACTTAAGCCGCAAACTCGATTTCTTAGAGTCAATCTAAATTATTTAGGTCTGGCAATATTAATCTACCTATTTCTCGCTAAAGCAGCATAAACAATTTGGCATGCATGCATCACCAGCTCCTTTGCATAGCATAATTGAATTAAATATACACAAATATAGGTATTTCTACTCGTCGTAAAATAGTACACAACATTAGCCAATTTAAACAGGCATCACCTAAATAACCATAATTGAATTTTCAATCAATTGCAGTGGATTTGGAAATTACATTCGACTATTTGTTAAACTAAACTTACATTTGTACTTAACAACTTTAACGTAACATACATACATATGTATATACCAACAAAGGAGCCTAGAAACTCATTTGCGCACAACGCCCGACCACCCGCCTGCATGCGCGCCCATCAGCACTGCCGCAGCAGCATAGCGCAGCGTCTACGCAATTTATAGTAATTTTTGCAAACGTAACATTCCGCACTGGTAGTTTTCACTGACGCAACCAAAACAACAAGCATGAACTGCCGCACCACCACCAACCTCCATCCTCCACCACCACACCACAATAACAACAAAAACACCATGCAAATGGAGAGGTGTTTTCGTTTGTTTATTTAAGTCGTAACATCTTTGATTACCTGACATTCCCGGTAGCTGCGGCATTCGTAAAAAGTGTAACGAATGTTACGTGTTTCAATGTACGCTCCCATGGCCGCAGGAGCGTCTGATTGTGTGTAGCTGTTGTTGTTGTTGTTGCACTCGCATCTTCTTCATAAAATATGCTCTTTCCACTCAATTGTAGACCCCGTTTTGGTGTCAGCACAACATCTCGCCCTACAATGGCTTCGGCGGCATTAAACTGTAAATGTTGAATGTGGAAATTCAATTAGAAAATTTAAAAGTTTCAATGCGCTTTTATCTTTAGAAAAAGCAATTTAAAAAGATTATTTGTTCAAGAGCAAATTTAAAGATCGCCTCCATTGTTAGTTCGTAGACTAAGGCAAGAACGAAGTTCTTGCAATTTTATTTAAAATACATCTAATTTTAATAAGAACTTTTTGTTTCATTACATATCGTTACCTTAATTCACCAAGGCCCTAACCAACACGTTTTTCGGAACATCGTCTTTCACAGATTTTAGTAGGATATATTAAAATATAACTTCAATAAAAAACAACGGAGTTGCATGCCACTTTTTAAAAAGCCCTACTTGTTTTTATTGTACTTTTTATAATGTTTTTTTTTTTTGCTTCTATAAAATTAAGAAGTTGTTGGTTAGGGCCTTTGCGAATTAGGATGTCGATATGTATGTAATAAAATGACAAATTACACTGTGCAACAATTTTATGCTAATATTGGATTTGGAAAAGTTAGCTCGTATTTTTATTTTATGGCCTACTACAGATTTCATGTCTTGGCAGAAGTAGTTTTCAAAAAATTAAAGGTTAAGGCATATACATATAGTAAAACATTTCTGGGGAAATATTGGCGTAAAATATTTTAACCCTTTAGCTCCCGCCTGAAAAGGTCGTTTGGACCCTTACTTCAAGAAACCCCGCTAAGAGCAAATTTGGAAGGTCGTTAGAGGATTGATACATATATTCTAGAAATTCATTCTTCGGAAAATTTGACTAGGGGTCTTCTCAGGCAAAAATTTCATGCCATCAACGTAAAAGTCCGTTATTGGATTAAAAGTAAAGGGTGAACACACCAAAACTGCGACACTTAGAAATTACTACCAGAAACAAACTAGCAGGCTTTGAAATTATTTTTTTTTTGTATTATATAACTTGGAAGTTTAGATGTTATTAAAATGTTAAAATATTAGTTATTATTTGCTCCATCTGCAAGTGATCGGTATTTTCATCGCACACGCGCCATCATGTTCTGCACGACTGCATCATCGACTTTACGCGATGCGCACAACTACTTTGTTTAGCACTCTTCAATATTTTTCACTGTTTCACCTGTTTTCTGCAAGATTTCTTTGTCAATTGACCAATATTCCCCAATAGGACGTGGCTCTGGGCTATTGGGTGGATTGCAGTCGTGAGGTACAAAATTGATGTTATTTGCATTATACCACGGCAATGTGTTCTTGGCATAGTGGCAGGTTCCCACGTCCGCCTAGAACAGTGGCCTACTCCTTATCTGTTGATAAATGACAGAAGACGCCTTTTGAGGCACTCATCCCGATAAACTTGATCATTCATTGTCCCGGATGGGAAAAAGGGCTGCTCTTACGGCCACAGGATCAAATAGCTTGCCAAACCATGTGGTTTTTTGGAAATTTGGACTTCATTTTCAGCTTACAACTTTCAGGGGCATCTTGACGACTTGCACCAGTATAAAAATCTTGACCTGCAATATATTTTGAATTTTTATAGCAGTAGGTTTCGTAGTCCATAACAATGCATTTGTATTTTTTAATTTAGAATTCATACAACTTCTGAATGCGGGATTTCGCTGTAACATTCTACTTTGCGCCTCGGTCTGGCGCTGTTTGAGCTGTAGAACATCTCAATGAAGCTTTCCGCATTACCTTTTGTACGAAAAACTGCGATCTCCGTACGGATTTTGCAACATAACGCGACAAAATCTTCGGATCTCGCGAAAACGCACCGAGGACCTTCCGAACACTGTTTTTATCACTTTGAGCATGCTAACCCCCGCTCCCTGGTTTTCTCGTAACTGCCAGGCCTTATTTGTACCGATTAAAACCCTGCAAACTGTCGAATAGTGCAATCTTTAATTTTTTAGCAATTTTACGTGTACTTAAGGCAGGATGATTTATAAACTCGTGCAAAATGGTTTGTCTCGTTTCTAACTCGGTTGCCATTTTTAACTCAACTAGGAATCAAATTCAAATGAAATTTCTTCTACGTCCAACTAAGGTCATGTGGTCAGCTTATGGTATTTGAATTTCAAAATATTGAATTCGTTTTGGATAAGTCCTTTAAAATCCTATAAATATTTTTTTAAATAAAATCTTAACTTTATGAGTATTCTTTTCTAGTACTAAAAAATGTATACGAGATCTGCTGGTATAGCCACACTGCTAGCGATTGTCTTATAAACGTAATAAGACGCGATATGTTATAAAAAATATAAGATTACATACATGTATATGTATATATATCGCTAGCTTAGAGTGAGAAGCTGCTAAGTACTTTTTTTTAATTTTACAGGAGAGGAAAAAAACTTCTTATAGGTATTTATTTTAAGTATTTTGCTAAAACCTAGAATACAACATTTTGGGTATTTAAAGCGAAACGAAATTCCATGCGAATGAGAAGAACTCCATTTTGATTAAAAGATTTCGTATTGTTTTGGTCGTATCGAACTTTTTGTGAAATAAAATAGGTAACTTAATCCTTGTGATATTTGGGGTGAAGACTATTACACTTCTAAATCCTTTGGCCGAGAAGAAGCACTGAACTGAGCATTCCCATATGTAGGTACTATATTCGAGTATACTTAACCGGAAAGACCCAGATGAAAACCTTTTCAAGGACTGCCACTTCAATAGTATTCCCAAAAATTTATTGGGTAATTTTTGTGCTATTACAAAATAAAATCCTTTTTGGCAGTGCGATGCCAAAAAGGGTTTATAAGCAATGATTGGTTCATGTGTGCTTGTCTATATTTAATATACTCCGCTTCACTTACTTAAATGTGTAAGTAATCTTCCTAGCGATCCGTGCTTATATCTTTAAATATACAGCTGCTGGCTGGCCACTTCAAAAACATGTATTTTGTTAATATCCCAAAAGTCTTTCATGTTAAATAATCTTTGTTGTTTTTATAAAAATTTGGTTCATATAGTCAATATTGCCAGATTCACAGTTTCAACTGTATATTACTATTTTTTACAGTTGTTTTTTATTCCTCAATTTGAAAGAATAAATTAAAGTTTTTCTTTTGATTGTTTTGTAAGTAAATTTTTAATATAAAAGGGACGATGAAGGAACTGTGTTTCCATTTGTTTCTGCCGTCCTTTGCATTCCAGTCGCCACAAGCAAATGCGGAAGGAGACTTTTCACAATTCAATTTGAATAAAAAAAGTCGTTCCAGCACTCCCTGGTATTTTAAGAACTTAAAATTGCTTTAAAAAAGCTTCGGGAGAATGATATGCTCAAAAAATTAAAGTTTACGAAAAATAACGAATGTGATTTAAGTAAATGTTCCATTTTATACAGTCTATCTTTTTTAGTTTATTATAATTTAAATGGTTTATGTTATTTATTTTTAAATGAATCGTTTCTTGCTATTTGTATACAATTCTCATATAAAATTTTTAGATAATCGTTAATTTCTTCATGACCCAATGATCGGATCTAAACCAAATTAGTATGGGACCACCTATGAGGTACCAATGTAGAAATACCTCTACGATATGGCAAAACGCGAGGAATGTAAAAATAAAATAAAATTTGCAAAAGTTATACAACAACAAAAATATGAGGTGTCTCGCCGTAAGCCATTGCTTATCATATCATAACTCGATAAATATTGGTTGTATCAAAAAAATCAATTAGTACTTTTTTATTGACAAAGAGTCAGAGATTTATAAAAGATTTTTAATTTGTTTTTAAGTCCACTTTTCTATGCGTTTGTTAATGAACAATTTAGAAAGTTGCAATAAAAAATGTTTGCAGGTTTTTAAAAATCCGAAAAAAAATATATGTGATAGAGTGAATATCAAAGATTTAACTGACAAATTTTTAAAGGGTGTCACGATATAGGGCCTGATATATTAATTGTTTAGTAAAGCAGTGACTGATAAAAAAATAAAAATAAAATAAAAAATTTAAATTCAAATTACATCAAAATACGTCAAGTGGGCCACTTAAAAACCTTTTCTTTCGGATAACCAAGATAGGTTCGTACTTTGGTAGAGGTCCAGGTAATATTTGTTTCCCTATACTTTATCTTGCAATAATCCTCTTACTTTGCGAAAAATTGCGAATTTAAAATTAACATAATCATTTCTTTAATTGGCTATATCTCTTGAAAGGGCAGAGATAACTTATTCATTTTGGTTTAAATTAAGCGTAAAACTATATCGTTTTAACAAAAATTATTAAATTTGTGGTAAAAAAAACTACTTCCCGAAAACTTAAAATTTTTTCGCAAAATGTCGTACAGAAAGGAAACATTCAATTCATATTCCGACGAATTGATAACCTTCTCCTTTTTTAAAGTTGGGTAAAAATTAAAAAATCTTGAATTTTTAAACTCGTTTTTGAACATAGTACAACAAGACCAAAGCTTCAAATTTTGTACAAAAGCTAGAAAAATGGCCATTAATTTTCATGAAAACCTCCAAAATATTTCTAAAAAATCCGATCAAAAAGATTAAAATTTTCTTGAAAATCAGTGGAAATTTTACAGATTTTTTCTAGCTTATTTACAAAGTTTGCAATTTCGGTTTAATGGTTTTTGAGTACCCTGAA